ACACGTAAAAGACGTTGTTAATGGTGGTTGGTGTTGGGGGGAATGAGTGGGGGTTTTAGTAGGTTTTGTTTATTTGCTTGAATTAAGCACTGCTAACAGCTTACTATCTTTTACTATCTTTAGGCACTCTTCACTGGATTTTAGTCTCTGTGGGACAGCCACCCCACCCTGATGCATGACACCCATGATTGCTGGTGTTGCTCATCAGTGGAAACTAACAGTAAAATATTTAATATCTGACAAAAAAAAAGTTACTTTTTTTTTTCAATCTACAGAGGATGCAATACTAACAACTTAGTAAGACAACAGGTAGTTACATATGAGGGAAGTACAAAATAGAAACACATAGTTGCATTTTCATCTTCACTGCTAAATACTTAAGCCTTTCCTCCTCCTTTAAAAGAAACAAAATTTACTCAGTTTTCCAACAGTATTTGTACCATTTTTATTTGTAAAAATAACCATCTGAATGCATTGCAATAGTAGTTTACAGTTAGGGTTCTTCATTACATTAATACAGCATTCAGTAGTTGAAAAAGTTACTAAACTGTGCTTGAGAAGATTCAGGTTGAATTCCAAGTAATTCACTGAAGTAAGTCTTCTTCCTCATTTCGTATGTGACATTTACCAAAGTCCTTAAACTTCAATTTACAAAAGCAAACAATAGCGACAAAACCCCACTGAAACCATCAAACAATATTTTATATTGTTTATTACAAATGTTATGCAAAATATAACACTGGCACCAGATTCGTATCACCATGGTTTGTAAAGATATATTGCACATGCTAAAGCATAAAATATAAGACAAAACCTACAAAACATAAGATATTGGCTTTAATATGTAAATCACTGCATAAGAAACGCATAAAATTACATTTTATACACACACTCGGATTGTCACTAGTTTAAAACGCCCTTTCCTATAACACTGACCTAAGGTTTACTTTTTGTGTAATAAGAAAGCATTTTCAGCACTGCAAAAATTATACATTATTCCTATAGAAATTTAGCATATTAATTTTCATTTCAATGCAGGTAGAACATATGAAAAGAAGAAACATTTTATACATTCAAAGAAGGTCTGAAATGAAAATTTACTGGTAATATATTGCTTTTATAACACTCAAATGAAAAAAAAAAAAAAGACGAGTTTCACAAAACATTTCCATAATACACAAATATAAAAAGGCACTCTAATATTTCTTACATGACTAAGAATAAAAATCACAATTTTTTTTTAAATCATCCTCAAGATACATAACCAAGTTTCTCAACAGTACAATGGATAAACAATTCATTTCATGTGTTTGTTCTAGTTCAATAATCTGGCAGTTGTTTACTGCATAAAAGTACCAAACACATTATGGTGCCCTTTTAGTAGCGATGAACAGAAATCCCCTGAGCTATTTCACAGCAATTTCAGGCAGTCCGGAGGTTGTAACTCAGTATTTATGAGAGAGACTTGGGACCCCATCCTGCTATGGATTCCACCTGCAGCTGTGGTTAAAATATAGGATGAAACGATCCTGCTGATACACCCGGGCAGGCGGCTGCCCCTCCCCAAATATCCTTTGCTTGGTACAGACAGAGGAGTTGTCCACGTATGGTAAATTGCAGGATCCAGGGTTAAGTGCAACAATTATGTATGATTAACTCTACTCTTGTAAAAAGTCCACAGAAAGGCAAGGTGATTATTTACAAGAGCAAAATTATTCCCATGCTTAAATATCTGCCCTAAATTACAAATTTATTTCTACATGTGATAAATTACATTACAGATTAATGTACTAGCATACAGAAAAAGGGATTCTGGTAACTCATGTGGGATAGGCCAATACTGAGTACTTCCAAGCATCTTGCTCATGACAGTTGTCCTCCTAAACACACCGTACCCAAAACATGACTTTCCCAATGCCCTTAAGATGCTAACAAATTATATGTTTCTGTGATTTTTTTTTAATATTGCATACTTACATCATTGTTAGTTTACAGAAAAGTTTAATCAGTAAAGTTCAGATTTGGTTCCTAGAAGGATCAAAGTAATTCAGTAATCACCTATGCTTCTATAATGTTGTATAAATCATTAAGAGGCAGCAGTTGTTGCACTACACAATTACCAGAGTTACGAGGTATTGCAAATACACAGAAATATTTTCAGTAACTCTGTATGGTAGCAAGTAAAAATACTGAAATTTTTAAATGGCTGCTTAATACAATACAACATCCTCTTTGTAAAGAGGACTGGTTTTCTCCTAATGAAGCAACTTCATGTAGGATAGCGTAACTTTCGGTTAAAGATGGTTATTGCTATTCTGCAACTCTTAAAAGCAAAAATGTTGAGAAAAATCCATCATAAAAATGTTATTCTGTGCTATTTCTGAGGAGAAAACCAGGGTTTCAGGTGCTCTGTCATTCTATTGCAGAAAATACAGAGTTGAAGGAAAAGAAATGTTCACCTTTAGAGATACTATCCTTGTGATTTTTTTGTTGTAAACTTTGGAAATTTGTTCATGTTCAAGGAAACAATATTTATTTTTACCTAATGTTCAAGGAAACAATATTTAATTTTAGCCAGGCAAAATAAACTTAATATATAAATATTTTTCCTAATTAAAGAACTGGAATCTGCCAATAGATTTTTAACAATTCAGTGGAACACAGCTAAAAACTGCAACTAAAATAAAAATCCTTACTTTTCATTTACCCTGCCGAAAGTGTGCACTGAGGAAGCTCATCTCATCCTCCCAGCACAGATGTAGGCCTGCAGACAGCCTGAGTGTGAATCACGGGAACTTTAACACCTTGGCTCCATGCTGTATTACCTTTGCCCCTCTTTACTGTAGCTGTACAGCGTTCTCTCACTTGTCTAGCAAGGGGTTGGATCCCTTTCTTACGCTCTTAAATGGTGGAAGGTGTTTTGCTCTCTGCTTTTTAGCAATATAGCCTGTGGACTTGCATTCCATACAAGAAGATGGGCACTCTCCCTTCCTTTTTCTACTCAGGCCATCAGTCATGCCTAGATTCACATTTCATTTCGCATCATGCCAAATAGTATGCACAAATGCTACCTAGGAGAACAAGCCATAGTTATTTTTCCTGGGCATTTGTTTCATTTCAAATAAATATAAACACATTTACATTAAAAGTATATGAACATATTCTTTAGTCTGGATTAAAAAAAAACCTGTGGTCAACACATCATCAGTTACAAATGTCATCTTGAAACCTGCGTCGTAAAATGTAAAATTCACTCAAGACTACTCATTACCTCAAAAGTTTGTATTTTTACGGTTTAGAAAAACTACTTCATTATGTCACTCACATTTGAAGAAAAAATAAAAGTAGCAAAGTCTTCCATTTAATTACTGAAGCATTTTGGTCCTCTTGGTACAGCTGGTTAGGTCATGGTAGCTTTTTGTTTAGGTTTTTGTTTTTGTTTACATAGTCTCATTCTTCCTTTTGTACATCTGTTGCAGGCGAGGGTCGTGGTCCATTTGACCTAGAAACTTTGGCAGAAGGAGTAAACATATTCACAAAGCTGACATTGCTTTAAAAGCTGGTGACAATAGGCTTTTTTAGCATGTATCTCCGATCCCCTGCACGGTACGCTGCTATGTTTTCTGGTGTTTGGTATTTCAACTTTTGGTGTTATGCTTTCATTGCTTTACCTTTGCTCTGTTAATCCGAACACTGGCAAAAGTATTTTAAAATTTGATACTGTTTACAGTAAAAATAAGTTATTTAAGCATAGGAAAGGAAAAAAATCCATTTAAGTTGGCAAGTCATTATAAACTTTGACATACACCTTTGTCTACACCTGATTATTTTTTTTTCTGATACTAGATCCATGGTTAATGGCTCAGGTGACAGAAACATCTAATGACCCTAATTCTGTAGTGCAAATAAACCGTACATGTTTGTGCTGAATTGAAAAAAAATAAGGGCCAAGTGATTTTAATTTTACACAAGTGGTTCCACTAATGTCCGTGGGAAAATACGATGAGACAAGTAGAATTTGGCCTTAAGAGTTTATAACTATTTTTCTAATTGTGTGCTGCAACTAAGAACTGTAAAAAGTGCCTTCTGTAGGTTTAAGTGCTTAATACATGCAGAATGTAAAAGATTTTGTTTCCTGTAGAAAAGTAATACAGGCAGTTTTAAGATTTACAACTTTACCTTTGGTTTGTGTAAAAAAAATTATCTAATTAACAAAGCCCCTGGAAGCAGGAAACAGGCAAACAGAGGAAAGGAGTGATGCTCGAATCTATGAAGGCTACGCAGGAAATAAGTTCGTGTGCTAAAGGTACAGCTAAAACATGTCAGAACTTTTTACAAACAGTTCCCTGTTTATTTGTGCTGTCAAAAAGAAAAAAGGCATTTTCTCTTCTACTTAAAATAAGAGGTAGAGACTTTCCACAGGGGCACTTAGGGCCTAAAGAAAACATGAGGAAGCTGAAAAGCTGCAGAACATTAATGGGGATATGTTCCAGTAAATCCCTCTTTGTTATTTAAAGGCTTGATTCTCATCGACACTACAAATCTTTCGATACCTACTTGTCAAGAATAATGGTTAAGAATATAGCCGTGGGATTTAAGCTGTTTAAAAAGACAAAAATAAAGCTGAAATGAAATAACAATTAAAACATGTCAGAACTTTTTACAAACAGTTCCCTGTTTATTTGTGCTGTCAAAAAGAAAAAAGGCATTTTCTCTTCTACTTAAAATAAGAGGTAGAGACTTTCCACAGGGGCACTTAGGGCCTAAAGAAAACATGAAGAAGCTGAAAAGCTGCAGAACATTAATGGGGATATGTTCCAGTAAATCCCTCTAACTTTGTTATTTAAAGGCTTGATTCTCATCGACACTACAAATCTTTCGATACCTACTTGTCAAGAATAATGGTTAAGAATATAGCCGTGGGATTTAAGCTGTTTAAAAAGACAAAAATAAAGCTGAAATGAAATAACAATGGAAAAAAGGTTTTGAATACCAAAAAGTCAAAACGTTTCAGAATCCGAATCATTGTCATTATACCCATCCTCTGTTCCTACGTTATTACTCAAGGCCTTATTGTAAGAGTTAATGCTACCCATACTGGAGCCATCGCAGAGATGTGTCCTGCCCAAATTGTCTTTTTTAAAACAAACGAAGTTGAAAGCCGTCATTGAACTGGAAGGAGAAAAAGGCATCATGGTAGCCAAAATGAGTGCCAGGCAGTCAGCCACGTCTTTGTTAGGAGCGCAAGCCAGGGCTGGCGTATGACCTGGGCACAAATGCAGACAAGGCAATGGTTAGTACTAAGGGTACTGAGAATGGCACTGAGCATTCCTCTTATACATCTCTAGGTGACATCGTAAGCAGGAGATGTATGTTCAGCTACAGTCATGCCAGGCAACAGGGGTATGTTACTTATTTTAAATTAGACATGCTGGGAAAATACACACTTTATGGAGCATTTAGATCACTGTGACCACAACAAGCACTATTTTTTTAAAATCAGGCAGCAAACAGGCTTCACGATATGAATAAAAGCACTTGCTAAACACAGTTCTACAGCACAGACAGTATGATGGATACAGAACACGGGGAGTACAGCAACAGGGACAGAAACTGGCTTCAGTTTCTGTGCATATGAACAAGTCTCATTCTGAGAACAATGACTTTCATTAGAATGTGAAAGATATTAGTTTAAAAACATTTTGAAACACTAAGCAAACGATTTTAAAGACTGATCAGCTGAGTATCTACTCAACTCAGGAAGCAGTTTATTTAGGAATTAAATTACAAGAGAAAAGAATTAGACCAGTGCACGTGGTACATGTATAGCAGGTATGACTAAGTGGATGTTTAGTTACCCAAATTTACATTATGTTAGAAGAATAATGACTGTATTCAGAAAGCATGGAATACACTTCAAATACAAAGTTAATATTCTACAGATGTCAGTAAAACGAAGAACTGGGGAACTATTAAAAGTTTGTCTTCACTGCAGTTTAACGTGGCTCCTGTCCAAGCGCTGCCCCTAAAGCAGCTCTTCACATATACAAATCTTGGAAACCCGTATGCTGATTACACTTGCTATCTATACATTTTGGAGGCTGCTGTGTAGTACTCCAGCACTTTCCAACAAATCCTCCTTTATACTAAGAGCAAACAAATTCTTTTGAAGATGGCTAAATCTTAAGTGCTGCAGCAATAGTAATCTGAGGCAATGACCACTGATATCCTACTGCCTCAAGTAAGCTGAGAACACCTGCAGTGTAGATGAGTTTGAGTACAGTTTTGTAACAAACTACCCACATTTAAGCACTGACTGCAGTGAATGCATACCCTAAATGGAATTTCCTCTTCCACCGAGTTCCAAGCGTGAATATTCTTTAGAGTTGTACTTATACTAAGATTGTACTTAAATTTCTCTTTTTTAAACTGCGTATGCAGTTGTTCCTAGAAAAATTAAATGTGTATCAAATTCAAACTTAATTTTCACTTGTTACGTACATGCAAATTAGGTGGATCCCTATGTACAATTTTAACGATAAAAACTGGGGTTAGAAGCTAGTCCGGTTCATTTTCCTGTCCCCTATCTCTAAAATGAGGTTAGGGCCAGATGACTTCAGTGGCACTCATTCATGCAAGTATATCTAGGCAGCACTTGGTTAATAGTAAATACTCACCACTCATTTCTTTTCATCCACAGATCTCAAATGTCTTGCAATGATGGGTGAGTATTATTATTGTTACTTTACAGATATGGGAAGATGGAGGTACCAAATTGTTACATTAATGCCGTGAAGTCAGTATTGTAATAAAGACCAGCTTATTTCAGGAGGACATTTTTGAAAACAGTAATTATAGAAGCACAGCCCTCTATGGGCTTTATAATGTTTAGGGAAGGACTTCATTGAGATCTGAAACAAAATTATCAGATTTATTAACTAACCGTGTATTTTATGAGGCAACAGTAATGTAATTTACTTGCATCTTGGATTAGGTCAGACAATTGGTAAGCACAAGCTTTGATCTCAGAATGAACTGGGACACAATCAAACATATGTTGATGGTTTTCTTCCTACCCATTAAAACATGCGCTGATTGAATGCATAATCCTTAATTCTTCTGCAAGGCGTCAGAATTATCCGGTGCCACTTGCATGTTTAGGAAATTCAAGTTACCACTGCACTCAAGCATTAAAAAAGACTAGCTGTTGACAGTACATGCAAAATGAACAGTAAAAGGGACTGCTGTGATGTTTAGAATATATTTTTATATTAAAGAAAAATAAATAGTATCTTTCTTTTAATAGGTACTCACACAGATCATTGTCTGTTCTTGGAAGGATAAAAGCATCAATGATGTCTATCATCAGCTTTTAAGTCTATTGCTTCCCTTTGTTGTAAAATTACCTGTTGGGTCCTACTGAAGATTGTCAAAGTGTATTATTTACTTACCATTTTCATCTACTGCTAGGACACATGCCCCTTTGGCTAGCAACTCTTCAACCACCATCTTTAAGCCGTTTCGTGCAGCAATATGGAGAGGTCTACAAAAACATGACAACTAAATTCAAGTTCAGTTTAAAATACTTTCTAAAAAATAGGTAATGCTTAAAGCATACCCAGCATCAGAAAGAGAATATTTTCCTTTTTTTGATCATTACAATTATATTGTAGACATTAAATTATGTTACAGCCTTTAAAATAATCCTCATGTTCCACATCTATAAAACATATGTGCAAGACAAATATAACCACCTTTATGTACACAAAGATTGCTTAATACTTTCCAGTCTAAAGTCTTTCTTTAAAAAGCTCTCATTTTTCCCACTATTTGCAGCACACAATTGACATTTAAAAGGAAAATTAATCTAAGACCAAAGAAATGCCTTTGTTCCATCCTTCATTCTGGCTACTACAGACTGTTCAAAATTATTGTATTGCCTTTTTATCCTCGATTGCTAATCTCTGTTACTGCAGAGCAGCTGGAAATTAAAAATAACCACTGGCTTGCTTCCTTCCTGGGCCAACACCCAATGCTCCAGTCTGGGGACAGTTAGTGGGACAGGAGAAACAATTTCATAATGGAAGGGGGAGAAAAGGGCTAAGATGGAATGAATTCTTCTGCAAGCACCAAATGATCTGCCCCCTGAACTCGTGGTTGAATCTTCTCCTGTGGGATTCCCCCATACCAGTCAAACAGTTGCAGCTGGAGTAAGAATATCGACGGTTCTAACTCTGCTGATAATGTCTGGTATGGACAGGAGTTGCACATAAAATATCACCTAAAAAAACCTCTGAAAATTAAATGTACCACCTTAAGTCTAAATAAATTATTTAGATTTAAGGTGAAGCTCAAAAAGCTAGGAAATGCCAGATGTATACTTACACATTCACATGATTAATAGACATTTTGATATAGTCTTCAAATAAATGAGCTCATGTAATTTTTCCACCAGACCATGTATAGAATTGGCATCAAAGGAATCAAAATTAAAAGTGAAAATGCAATACAAATCCGGTCTTTTCAAGGGCAAGCACTCAAAAATATCAGAAATTAACCTTTTTGTTCTATGAAAAAATCTGAGACATGAATTTGAAATGTTAAATCGGAATCTTCTGGTAAGTCAACTGAACTTGAGGGGATCAGGCTATACTTACGTCTGCAATGCATTATTTTTTGCATTAATAAGGCTCTGTTCTTGTATCTCGTCAAGTATTAACAAGGCACATTTTTCATGACCCTGTAGTTGGGAAAAAAAACAAGAGTGTTAATTTGCTGAGGAGTTTGAAATTGAGGCAAAAGAAATGTTACATATAAAAGTGAAATTTAATAACGCAACTTGAAATGCAAAACATGCTACTCAGCTTGTAAGGATGTGTAGTAGGTGAACTGTAGGAGCCTTAAAATACCATTTACAAACCGCCACTGCTAGGATGCTTTAGCACATTTAGAAATGTAGACATTTCAACCCTCCGTTCATTATATATGAATTCACCTCTTCAGCTTTCAGAGAAGACTGCTATTTCTCTTGAGAGAGCATTCGATGGATTATTTATTAGAACTACATAGTCACATAGAGATGGTTTAATCTCAAAAACTAATACTATACTTTCTGGATCCTGAAATGCCTTTCTGTATTATTAATAAGCTACTACAAAATCCCTCCAGTGTGAGAGCTCTAATAATGAAACTTTGGAAATAATACAGATCCAGGCCTTATTTCTGATACTGTTTCAGCACAGCAAGCCACAGGTGCCGAGCCTACAGCCCTGGCAGGTGACCAGCTGCCTGAAGGACCTTGAGAATTCAGCGAGGCTCATGTCTCTGCAGAAACTGGAGAAATACTATCACACAGGAATCCAATCTGTGGATAGGAGCAAAAGAAAAGGCCCAGGAGAGGGAATCCCATGGGCATTTTTTCGTGCAGAAACAGCAGCAGCAACTGGAATTAAGAGAAGGAAAGGGTGGGAAAAGACACCACCACCAATCTAATCAATGCTTCTGGTTTTACTGCTACAGAGCATAAGGGAAAATTTTTGGTTCCTTCCACAGACACTGGAGAATAAGAAAAAAGAATAAATACCTTTTTTTTTTTCTTTGCCACTGAGCCTATGTTAAGCTATTTCACAGTGAGATTATTTGGTAAAATCTCAAAGGATTTTCCAGTATTTCTCTTAGTTTCCCTTCCTTATGTTTCAGCTGTCATAAGAGGCATCCATATTTCTCAATTTACTAAACCTTGAAGCAGACTTGAGAAAAAGCTTGCAACAATGCTCCATTCCTCACCACAAGTTTGACCATCACATTTCCACTGCAGAAAAATTTTTAGTAGCATAAACACACACATACAGACAGACAGACAGACAGACTGTGAAGAGAATAGAAGCATACAGAGGTCTTCAACTTACTTTACTGCTAGCCAAGTGCAAGGATGTATTCAACTCCTTATCTTTTAATGTCAGGTCAGCCTTGGCAATGTTCACCAAAAAGTCTGAGGCATAGAATGGAAATCAATGAACAAACCCAATGGGCAGACGACCGTGTAAAAACAGAGGAAAAAATTTACTATTTCAATATACACGTGCATACATGCTAATCAATTAAGCCTTTATGTGATGTAAGCTTTATGAACATGAAGTGAAAATAATGAATGAGAACAGGCTAATCTCGTGCAGTTAATCAGCAAGCAAAGGCAGAGCTAATAGCTCATTCACTGTGCCCCAAACTGTCAAACATATATTCATCTTAATTTATCTATAAACTTCCCCAATTGCAGATCAGCCAGTACTGCCTGAATCACCTCCTCCTGAGAACAACTGTGGATCCTGCTTTGAGAGGGCTAAGTGGATATAAAGAATTTAGGGTGCAGTCTGTGCTGTTGAAGCTAGAGAAAAGGGAATTCTGTTAAGCCAATATAACCCTAATCTGGATGTCTATAGTATAAAGTCTAGCCTGGAAAAGCAGCTGCTGATAGCTGCCATTTTAAGAATAGGACTTCCTATAATAGAGCGGAAAAAAAGGTTACACAATCTTTTTCACACGTGCAGTTTTACTGCTCCATAAAATCAAGGAAGTAAACAGGAGAATAGAATTACTACTCCCCTCGTGCTCTTTACAGTGCGCTCTTAGGAGGAAATGAGACTCAAGTTTGTTATTGCAACTGTTCACCAAGACTACTGAGAAACAATGAATGAGCAGAAAAAGATATTTTTTACAGATGTAAAGGTAGCTTCTTACAGACATCCACACAATTTATTTTTCTTCCTTAGGTTTCACAGGAAAAAAAGATGACTACCTATTTGGGATAGTAACTGCAGTAGCACTCACCCTTCAAGACAAACGGAGGCAAGGATGTACTTACCTACCGCACCTACGTGACCGTTTTGAGCTGCCATCATGAGAGGTGTTTTCCCTGCGTGATCCGCAGCATTCACTTGTGCGCTGTGACTCAGGAGGAGCTGGAGGCACTCCACGTGATCCGCGAAGGCT